AGGTCGATAACAATGTTTGTTGTTTGTTAATAATAAGCCTTGTTAACAAATTACTCAGAAATTAAGATATACAATTTTTATCTGCCTATTCGTACAATGTAGCAAAGGTTAGAAAAGATGACAAGTGTAAATAATATTATATATTTACTCTCTCACTCTCTCTCTCTCTCCCTCTCTTGCCATCTATCTTTCTCTTTCTCTCTATAATTTGCGGATACCTAGACATATACATGTACAACTATATTTTCTTTCATATATTATTCTTCCACAACACGTCACAACCTATTCCTCAGAAAGGAAGTCACGATGCCATTTCCTCTTGAGACACTTTATTGTAGGGATGGGTTCTATTAGACAAGGCTTGAGGAAGAACATTTGGGTGATGGGAGAGTTTATTGAACTTGGTAAATTTGTGTGGAATTAATTTTTGGATGAATGGATTTTTAAGGTCGTTATGTATGGCAGCATTTGAGATATAATACCGAGTATTTATAATTGATTTGATTGATTTATAATTTAAACCGTAGCTTCTGTTTAGGTCTTGTTGTTGCAGTCGTATAACGTGAATCTGGGTGGGACTCAAGTTAACAAACGCAGTCGGATTTGGAGGTTCTTCCAGTGAATTGTGAAAGGAGATTTGCTTCGGAGTGTAAATGAGACATGGAAGCATTTGCTTTCATTTATCTTCATTTGTCATTGTTTAACCAATCTGCTAAACACCAGCGAGTGGATATTGCGGAGGCAGTTGGCGTTTTTCAGAGCGTGATCGCCCGGGCTTTAAGGTGGCCATTCACGATCACTCCAAATGGAACCGCGCCAAGCCGTACAGCTCCATTTGGAGTGCCTGAAATTTGAGGGGCATTCACGACCGCTCCACAGCCAGTCGCTCCGAACGTCAACCAGTGAATTACCTTCTCAAAATGGATGACGATCTCTTGTGCTACTCTTCTGTTTATTTACATATTAAAAGCAAAAAATCGAAGAGAAAATGGTGTAAGAAGTGGCTCCTGAACAGAAGCCGTAATACCCACATCAATTTGATGAAAGAACTTTCCCTTGAACCCGCTGATTGGAGGAACTATTTAAGGATGGATGAAACGTCTTATTTATTCATTATATTTAGTGTTCTATTGACCAAATTACTTCTTTCAATTATTTAATCTTTTTTGTAAGGTTTTGGTTGAAATGAAAAAGCTAGTGCCACGAGCGGGATCTGAATCCATGGCCTTCGGCTAAATACGCCGCTGCTCTACCACTTGAGCTATCGTGACTTCGATCCTCTCCGACACCAAAAAATGGCAAAAAGAGAGAAAATTCGAAAGGTTGCAGGTTGAGATGGGGAGTTGGTGCCCGAGTGGATCGAACTATCGAAGTCAGTATAGCTAAAGTGGTTAGCGCAGCGGCGTATTTAGCCGAATGTCGTGGATTCGAATCCCCCCGTGACACTATTTTTTCATTTCAACCAAAACCTTACAAAAAAAGATTAACGTCTTATTTATATTTACTCCAGCTGGTTACCTACCCCCTTGATTAGAAAACAAAAGACAGTCATGAGAGAAATCATCACTACATGAAAACATTACGATTTCTCGCTATAGGGATGAACTAAAAAGAACTTAAGTACTCTACTACGATTTTTGATCATTGTTAGGGGTTATCAATACCGCATCTCTCATTGCATTTGTATCCTTTGTTTTGAAAAAGTCGACCAACTGGTTGCGGACCCAATTTCTTTTATTAATATCGTGGTAATCATTGTCCATAACTTTCCGTAAACATAGTAAACTTTCATACAATTCAATCACCTCAACAATAAAATCTCGATTGGATGTCATTACCTATAAAGAATAAACGTTTTTGACTTTTTGAGAATGTACGACGGAGATGTTTGCTCAGTGACAGAAATACGGAGACTGCGCCAAAAAAACGAGGGTTCTCCCATTCACGACCAGGCCAGCGCTCCAATATTTCACTGTTCACGCCAGGTTTTCCCATTCAAGAACGCTCCATGCCGTCGTCGCGCCGTAGATATTTGGAGTGGCGCGATGGAGTTTGGACCGGTCGAATATTCGGCACAGCCGGGCACTCCAGTTCAGTTTTGCCATTGACGTGGTTTTTGGAACGGCGTCGCTCCGTTTGGCCTGCTTAGAGCGATCGTGAATGGCCACCTTTAGACCGATTCCGAGAGGCTGGAAGTGCCATCTCAGCGCATTACGACTCAAAGGAGGACAGAAATATTGTCAATGCTGCAAGACGGAACGATTTCCGTAGTGCCCGCCAGATCCTAAATGAAGTACAAGATGTTTTGGCAAGACCTTTATCAACACAAATATTTCCTAATCGTTTGTGGGAAGTTGGCCTCACATCGTATGCCCTTTTGAGACGACCTGCAACAACAGCCCGCCACCAGTAACTCAGGAGAATATGGTACATTCTTTCCCAGTCTTGCTCGACATCCTGAGAAGAACGTGAGGATATATTAAGCCCGCGCCTAGCCTTAGGGCCATATCGGTCTATGCAAGCACGGGATCGTTTCTCAAGAAGGGAGGCGACACGCTTCCGTCTACGGTGGGGTGTGCAATACCGTAGATTACCCTCTTGGCCCTTCTGCAGGGCTGGGTCTGCAGACCGCCCGGCCAGCGTCGAGCCGAAGCTACTCCCGATCGATAGAGAAGGTAGCTCTATCGAAACCCCGAGTGGAGGAGCGACCCTAGCGTAGGTTCAGAGGGGCCGGCACCGGTTTTTATTTAAGTGGAATGATAACCACCGTCCAGAGGATACAATGTACCCCCTGGGCTTCTCTCAAGGAGCCTCACAACGTACCACTACGAGTCCGACCTCAATTGCAAGCAGTAAGCTTGGAACATGCTTGCGCCCGTAGTTCAGTAATTCTCACACATAGGACTCGCATAATGCTGCCCGCGAAGTTCATCTCACACCCGACGGTTAATTGTGGCTAAGGTCTTTTCAGAGATTTGCCAAACCGTCTACTGATTTAGAATGTTTGCCAAGCACTCAAGGCTACAGAATATGGTACAGCGAGCGCCAAAAGGGAACACCCATTTTGATGATGATGACGATATGTTTACTGATGAGTCGCGTTTCCGTCTGTATTGATAGCATGCGCCGAAGAGTCTACCAAGAACAGGAGATGCGTGCAGTGTCCCAGTTTGTGCTCCCTTCAGTGCAATTTAGAAGAGGGGGTGTAGGGGCTGGGATTTACACTGGAGGATGAACTTGACTCCATTCTGCTGAAAGCAACCGCACCGCAGTCTGTTATATCCAAGAAATTATCGAGGAATACATCCCTCAAACCAGGGATCTCATTGGCACGGATTTTCGATTTCTAGATGACAATGCCAAACCTCAAAGAGGATGAGTTGTTCATCAATGTTTAGAAAACGTGGGAATTTCCCATCTGCATCTTCCGCATTGTCTTCAGACCTCAATCCCATTGAGCACGTGTGGGATGCGTTGCAGACAGGCTTTTCGATCACCATCCACAGCTAGTTTACCTGCAACTACCGAGTGCAGCGTTGTAACATCCACGGAGTGAAATTCCTTATGAATTAGTGACAACATTATTAACATATGTCTAGCAGGTGCATAGAGATTTTAGCTAACAGAAAATAAGAAAATTATACACAGTAATTATTCATTAAATTCACTAATTTCGTGGTCCGCTTGACCAATTAATTTATTATAATTAATTAAGGTTTTTAGTAGAGATGAAAAAGACAATGGCACGAGGGAAAACTCAAAAGGTGGGGTTGAGATAGGAAGTTGGTGTCCGAGTGGATCGAGGTCACGATAGCTCAAGTGGTAGAGCAGCGCGTATCAAGCCGAAGATCTGGGTTCGAATCCCGCTCGAGCCATTGACCAAAAATAATTATTGCGTAGACAAAATTAAGGAATTAAAAACTTTTATTTTGTTATTTTTCAAAATCCCTTAAATTAAATTTTCCTTCGGTAAAAATATAATAATTTCTTATAAATTTATAATAAAAATAAAATAAAAATGCTAGGGAAAGTAAATACTACAAAATTGGCAATGTGTACCTATTCATTTTGAGCTGTTTATAAGACACTTAAATAAAGTTTAGATAATTAAAATCTGGGAACTGAAACATTACATTTCTTAAGAGATATTGCATTTTACAATTAGCATGCTGATGAAACAGTTTATTTCGTAAACTCCTTTTCTGGGTCATTTTCTCCCTTTAGGGCCGGAATCACTCATCACCGCCTTGAACTGCCTGGCGTTTGTTGCACTTGTATTTGAGAATCATAAATCGCATTACTCAAAATAACAAATTTATTAAATAACAATTTCGTCCTAATAAAGAGCACTAACAAGGGTGATTCACCTGAGAGACTTGAAAAATGTGCATGAAGTTTCCGTAATTTAATTCCCTTCATACGAAGTCATTTAACAGCACACAAAAGTGAACCTCCTGTTGTTAACAACTTCTGTTGATTTGAGGTACTCTGGATGTTTTTACTTGTAAATATTATTCCCAACACAAATTGTGACATGAATGAAAATTCTTCCAGTGACTCACCAAGCCACGTGACTAAAATACATGTACATACTCACAAGTGTTTAAAAACAGTATGAATCTTCCCAGGTCATCAGGTTCCGTTGGGTTAAAAAAGAAATTCGAACTAATTTCAAATTTTGTTCTTCTTGATCAGTTACATATCGTTTGTTATTTATGTGTACTAAGAACTGGTTAAGGTTGTAGGCTTTTTTGAAGATATTACAGAAGAATTTCGTCTGATGTGCATTAAAATTAAATAAAGGACGATAACATCTCCAGCATAATCCTCGCCATTTATTTGATGGGTGTAACCTTTAATAGTTGCGTTCTGCGAGCTGTTCGCCTCCTTATCTTTTTCACTATCGTCTTTCTCTCGTGGCGTTTACCCGTCGTTTACACAGGATTATTATTATTTACTGTTCAATGTGGTGGGGAGCACGTATAAAACTGGTATGTGGCGATCGCTCCCGCTCAGTCTGACAAAATGAAAGCCGCCTTATTCATCTCAGTTGTGTACTTTTCGTTCGTCTCTGTCCGACCGGCGACATCGGCCCCGTATGACGAGGTAAGAGATCATTACTGACTAAGGAAATGTCTAGAGATAAAAGATAAAACAAGAATTGTGCGGTAGATTAATTTTGCTAAGAAACTATAGCCAGTTACGACTAAATTATATAAGTTCCTTGTACGGTTATAGACAAAAATTAATCAATAATCGCCCAACATGAATATAAAATATTTCAAATGACTTAATTAAAATTACCATGACGGAACACATTTATGAAGGCATGAAATCGGTCACGCACCTAAAATTAACAAGAATGAGTGAAGTGCGTTTTATTATCATGTTTTTAGGATTAGCATATAATCAATTTAGCTTCCTTTGTTGTCGAGAGAGCATAGAGGACTCGCGGAAGGTTTGTTCCATAATCACATTTTTCAAAATTAATCTCAAAATTTTTTTAGCTTTCTTTTACACAACATATAAATATGCAGCAAAGTAGATTTGTCAACGTTTCCAGAGAAAGTACATAATAGTTTAAAACATTCAAGTTTTACACGAAGAAATTAGTAGCTCCCCCCTCACTGTTTACTTGTTTTTCGATTATCTACACAAAGTTTTGTCATATTGAACCCAACATGAACTAAATTGAGTTAGATAACTATTACATCGTTTATTTCACATTTACACATGGTTTTTGTTTGTGACGGTATGAGAGTGTAAATGTATAAGTTCGGACAATGTTGGTTCCCACAAAAGAGTTTTATAGGGATTTAATCATGATCTAAAAATTATTGGAAGAAGTTTGTTTATTTAACTACTTGTTGTGCAAAACGGAGGGGCTTCTAATGCCAGTTAAAAACAAAAATCTCTTGTTTTGTATAGATCGTTGAGTAATCTATTGCGTCCTTGCTGCAAGGTCGAGGCTAGACCAATAATTCGAATAAAACCTGTGAAAAGGTCTACATTACATTGACAATAAATTGTATTAATCGAATAAATAAATAAACTATAGTCACTGCTTTTTTAATCACAGCAACGAAATAATCCTGGTGAATTCCTGGATAAAACATGGACGTAGTCAAGTTCGCACGTTGTCGCTTTTTTCTCACAAAATGGAAAAATAGGTGGGCTAAATATTAAGGGGGATTGAGAGAGTGAAAGAGATAAAAGAGAGAGAGAGAGAGAGAGAGAGAGAGAGAGAGATAGTTAGAAAGATGATATGATGTTCTCCTAGATCTCTCTTGCATACAACGTGTGTTACAATTTGCAAAATAAAATATTTAAAAATGATGAAACCGTTCTAAACAACGAAAGATCTTATATTAAAACGATTAGGCTACGTACATTCAAATAATCGCGTGCAAAATGTGTCTAAACAATTAAAGGAAAACGAACAAAACATCATACTAAAAAATATCACAATAAATTCAAATACAAGCCAACAACCTAAAAAATACCATAAAAGTTATGAAAATTAAAGTGTGATTCAGAGAGAAAGAGAATGTATGTGTNATGTAAACAATGTTTGTAAATCCCAGGCCCTGAAGATGATCTCAATAAAGATCGAAACGTTGGCACGATAAAGAAAATGTTTTTCTGACATCACACCCGACCGCATCTCACGATTTCTAAATAAATAAATATATATTGATTGATTTCAATCAATTGTATCAAGCTGTCATTACTGTTACGGCCGTTTTGCTTGTTTATACTTCCGTTCATAAAAATAAAATTAATTTTGATTGATTGAGGAATTGATAAATGAATACTTGTTTTATTACATAGATTGTTTTATTCTCAGTAATTATGACCAGAACGATGGTGTATATCGCGTACACAAACGAATTTGTAAAAAACGGATGGCGAAAGTTCAGTAGCCGTACATCAGATTTCCACATTCGTTTCATTGTTTTATTGTTTACACATTAAATTACCTTTTGTTAATTTTTGTTAATGGCCCATGGTTGTAATACATACATCTAATGGAAAAAATGTCCGACCACAACAATAGAAGTAAGGTTTTTCTCTGTGGAAAATCGATTTCATTTTTTTCCGAGTGTCAAAAAATAAAGATAGATTGTCGCGGTTGGCGGATCACCCGGTATTTCTCAATTATCCGAACCGGTCCATCCACTTACAGAGATGGATCCACCCCTGGTCACATACCACTGACCTTGAGCACTGCAATGAAGTCCATCCCAACAGTTCGCACAAATTGAAACATATATATGCACACTTTAGACTGATAGAAATTTGTTGGTTTGAATAAAACAACGCATTAAAGTTCATATTTCTTTAAATGTTCTTTATTTTTGTCACTGCTTTGCGACATTTAAAAGACAACGGGTTTGGACTTCAAATAATTTCACTTTATAAAGTCAATCACGTGTGGAGTGATTGGTCTGAGAAATTCCGGGAATTTCAATGCTAGATAATGGGGAAGAACAGTTGGCCGATAGGAGAGAAACTCTTTCTCAACAGTTTTAAAAAGTCTTCATTCTATTTTTCTAGATAATTCTAAGAGGAATGCTGTAATGGTTCTAAACATTTTTGGGTCAACTTCTTTTACTTAAACAGCTAATATTAAAATGAAAATGTATAAATTTGGTTCGACAAATTGGAAACAACATGTATCTGTAATACATAACCTATTTTCTTCAGATGCTTAATGGATATTCCCAATGGTATCGCTTTTACCTCTGTTTTTCCTCTATTATTTTAAATATGAAAACTTGATTATAATGAAAAAAAAATGACAAAGATTTTTAGATATTAGGTCAATAATAATTTTAGCCTTCCAAAAGACAAACTGCTATCACATTTATTGATTAAACTTGAACAACAATTAATTCACGTTGTTCAAAAATGCGGACGAAAAAGATAACGATCGTTTATGATAACATTGGTGACAAACTGCGAAATTAAGCGGACCGTGTTGATGTTTACATTTCTAGAAATAACCAAAGCGACAGGTCGCTCTCCTTGAGGCAATGCAGATCAGATTATTTTGTAAAAGTTTCTTAAAATAGATTACGTAAAAAGTAATATATTCAGGATTTTTGAATTACTATTAATAATGTTGTTTGTGTTCTATACAATGTGTATATTTAGATTGATATCGATGATAAACATATATTTACAAGGTTAATGGTAATATTAATCTTTCAATTAATTAATCTTTTTATGCAAGGTTTTGGGTGAAATGAAAAAGTTAGTGCCACGAGCGGGATTCGAACCCACGACCTTCGGCTAAATATGCCGTTACTCTACCACTTGAGCTATCGTGAGTGGTAGAGGAGCGTCGTATTTAGCCGAAGGTCGTGGGTTCGAATCCCGCTCGTGTCACTAACTTTTTCATTTTAACCAAAACCTTACATATAAGATTAATTAATTGAAAGAAGTAATTTGGTCAATAGACCATTTAATATAATGGAGTTAATAGTGTAAAAATTACTAATAAAACACATCAAGCTTTAAACTTTGTTTTAAAAGTGAACTAGTCTAAGGATTAAAATTAGTCAATTAAACTCTACCCAGTATAAGCACACTGTAAGTCACAATGACTTAGCCCTGGAGGATCTTAAAACTAATTGATTATTTTTTCCTAAATTTCCCTACTGAAATTCTTAGAGTGGAATTTTTGAGGTCGATTTAGAGTGTAAAAATTTTCCATTCGATTTTAATCTTTTTAACGATTAGGCTGGACGATTTGTAAATTCCAGGCTGGATGATTAGCCGTCCACTGCACTTTCTCACAGATAGAACTTGCAAGTCAGTTCAATTTACAATTACAAGGACGACCGTGCTGAAATTTATCTCTGTAAAAATTGTTCAATCCTTAAAAATTAAACATGAATAATAAAGAAAATGTAATTATTTTGAAACCTAAAGCGAATTGCTCAATCAGGCCTAATCAATTAATATTAAGAACAAATGGGATTCAACAATTATTAAAAAAAAAATTAAACCAGAGTCACAAACGATTATTTCTGTTTTTAATCTAGTAAATCCAAAAAAAATCATATTTAAAAAACGATTAATTCTTTAATTATTAAAATTAAAATACAGAAAAAGCGTAGATAATTGTATTAATCCATTTATGTTTTAGTGGTCAATTGACCAATTTACTTCACACGTGTAGAAATGTGTGGTGATTAGTGACCGTTAATCGATAATTATTCAGAAATCGTGAGATGCGGTCTGGTGTGATGTAGGTTTCAGAAAAGCATTTTCTTTATCGTGCCAACGTTTCGATCTTTATTGAGATCATCTTCAAGTCCTGGGATTTACAAACATTGTTTACAATTACAAATACAACAACAAATACATACATAACAAATACATTTAGGATGTGGAAAAGTGAATTTATACAATGCAAAATATATTTTATATTCAAACAAAGTATTTCTACTCACTCAAAGTGTTTGTCTTCTGTGTAATTGTGCCATTCTTGCGTGTCGTTTTGAGTGTGCCAGTGAGATTTTGCTGTTTTATGTTTATATAAAAAATTAAAAAATATATATTGCATTGTATATATTCACTTTTCCACATCCTAAATGTATTGTTAATTGTAAACAATGTTTGTAAATCCCAGGCCCTGAAGATGATCTCAGTAAAAATCGAAACGTTGGCATGATAAAGAAAAAATTTTCTGAAACCTACATCACACCAGACCGCATCTCACGATTTCTGAATAATTACTTCTTTAAATTAATTATTCTTTTTATATAAGGTTTTGGTTGAGATAAAAAAGTCAATGTCACGAGCGGGATTACAACCCACGACCTTCGGCTGCTCTACCACTTAACGTGACTTCGATCCTCTCTAGCCGAAGGTCGTGGGTTCGAATCCCGCTCGAGACACTGACTTTTTTATCTCAGCCAAAAGCTTACATAAAAAGAATAATTAATTGAAAAGAATAATTATTTTACAACGCAAAAACTTATAGAACTTATAACAATAAAATTAAGAAAAAAAAAAGTTCGACTAAGTCACAGTAGCAGGATGTAAGGTTGAATCGAATCATGAAACAGTCACTTGAACTGCACGCAAAGCACATTAAAAGCTAGTGTGCCATAAAAATCCGCTGAACTGTTAAAATTATCTCTTTATTATGACAAAAGTAATAATTTTCATTCCCTTATAAGAATCATTTGGCTCATTTGACAAAAAATAAGATTATAGATTTGTTCTGAACTTAACATCGCATTTATAATCAAATTTGGTTTAAACCTGTTTTTTGACGAATTCGGTTAAATTTACAAATATTTATGAAAAAACTTTGTCAAGCGTGAGTACATTCTTAACAGGGTGATCCGTGAAAAGTCAATACTTCAGGCGAGCTTATCCTACACGTCAAATCACCAATCTCTGGTAAAAACTTTTGAATTTTTTATTCATGTGTCTATAATACAAATTTTTACTTTCAGACTTAAAAATCATATTTTGATATTTGTAACACACCAAGGCTCTGTTAAAATTAATTTTGAAACAATTTTTGTCCATACAGGCCAGTTGATAAACACCTTGTTTGGCAGGTTTTAGCTTAGCTCTTGTAGCATAGTGTATTTCAAAGTGATTATCGTACCCGTTGAATATCTGAATATTTTAATGTAGCGATAATTGGCTCAAAAAAACGAGTTTTTCGAGTTTTTTTGTGTAACTTAAGCGTCTCATTTGTCAAGATTTCAAGAAAAATTGCGTTAAGGAGTGTTTTTAACGTAGCGATACACGACTGTGGTAAAATGATGCATATTTAACAAGATTACATTCGCATTGGTTGAATAACTGAAAATTTTAATGCAACAATAACCTGTTCTGTGTTGGTAGTAACGATTTTTAATAATTTTCTTAAAGAATTCTAATAATTTAAATAAGTTAACTCCCTTTCTGTCTTAAAGCATCTTTTTTTAAAATCACATTTTTATCTAGTGGCAGTTGGACTTGTCACAAGAAATCTTTCATCATTTTAATTCAAAATGACTGTCCAAATGTATCTGATTATCTGATTAAAAACGTTTTTTATCAGATTTTTACCTAGTGACAGTTGGACTTGGTATAAAAAAATCTTTAATCATTTTAATTCAAAATGACAATCCAATTGGCCCTAATTAATAAGACGTTTTTTAATCAGACGTTTACCCAGTGACAGTTGGACTTGCCACAAGAAATCTTTCATCATTTTAATTCAAAATGACTGTCCAAATGGATCTGATTATCTGATTAAAAACATCTTTTTTATCAGATTTTTACCTAGTGACAGTTGGACTTGCCACAAGAAATCTTTCATCATTTTAATTCAAAATGACTGTCCAAATGGATCTTATTATCTGATTAAAAACTTCTTTTTTATCAGATTTTTACCTAGTGACAGTTGGACTTGGTATGAAAAATCTTTAATCATTTTAATTCAAAATGACTGTCCAAATGGATCTGATTATCTGATTAAAAACGTCTTTTTTATCAGATTTTTACCTAGTGACAGTTGGACTTGGCATAAGAAATATTTAATCATTTTATTTCAAAATGACTGACAAAATTGAACGTGCTTAAAAATCTTTTTATAGACCTTTAAGCTTTCTAAGGCCACTAGTATCACAAGATCCCCCAGTTGTTGATAAATATTCTGGAGGAACTTCATCGCCCTATTGTTTGTGGGTTGTTAGGTTTTCGGTTGTGTTGGTTTTGATGTTTTCTTCTGAACGTTTGCGTCGAAATAATAACCGACAATGGAAATAACCTACATCACGACCATCCAATGATCACCATGACCTACTTCAAAATGCTTCTAGCGACAACCGACGGACCCAACGACATATAAGCCATACTCGGACAAAATGACACAGATCCTCACTGAAGATGGCGCCGCATGTCCGTCGACAAGTGTCCCGTTCTGCCTGGTCTGTTGATCATATTTTGGGAGTCCCAATCGGAATATGTTGCTCCAAATGTTTTGTGAAAATAGTATTAAAGTAGTGGTAAATATATCCATATGTTTTAATAACAACAATTCCCTATTCTGGTGGATTCTTCTTGCCTGGAATTTATTTCTTTATAAAATTCAGAAATCTTTCCTTACTTCTACTTTACAATAATATTTCCAACCTTAAGAAAATGGTAGTTTTTTTAAAAAGGCAATTTGCTAATAGTCTGCTCACACTCGTGTTGGTCCTTTTGACAATAAACGACCAAGTCTCTTTGCAAACCTCTAAGCGTGCAACGTTTCACACCCTCTGGTTTAAAGGTAGTTTTTGTGTGGGTTCCAGGACATGAACGCATTGTAGTTAATGAAAAAGCAAATAGTGGTGCAAAACTGGCCACTGATGATGAGATTCTAGTTAAATACATACACAGATTTTATTTCCCACGCTAAACAAAGGCAGGAAGAATGGAGAGAAGTATGAGATAATAAATTAAGGGATATAAAACCGAACGTCGGCCCTTGGTGATCTTCAAGGCGCGAATCGAGGCTCGAAGGAATTGTTTTGGCGCGACTGAGAATTGGACATAGCAGACTTACCTACGCTGAGTGTGCGGGTATAATGAGCAGAAGTCCAGTCTACAATTGCTACAGGGTCACGGTGAAATATCCCTGAAGAATGACCAACCAAAAAATAACTATAATTAAGAATTCTTGGAGAGTCCTTCTCCTAGTCATAAATTTGATTTGATCTTTGGATTTTGGCAAAAAAAAAGGTATAAATAAAAAATATATATAGGAATATGTATGTATGAGATAAGTCAATAGATATAAAATTATATAACCGTTTTCGTGTGGCTACGGTCGATGCAAAAAAAACATGCGTGTTAGGCAACGTTTGATTTGTGAAAGGTTACACTTGACTAGTGAAAGACTGAAATATACTTGGAAATGCTATGTAAGTAGTAAATTAGCCCAACAGTGATATTAAAAATACGTTTTCAAGTTTTGAACAGCCGCCACTAATTCACATAAACATCCATAGGCACAAAACCACGACTTATCGGTATATTAGAAAACACGAAAAAAAGACAAAAACATGTGATGGGTTTTATTTGAAAAATTAGTTTTCCTTATTCTTCTCAAATTCTAAATGTATCGTATTCACTTGGTGTTATATTATCTAATCTGGTTACTTTTGGCGAGCAAAATAATTTGGGCGGATCATGCGAAAATAATAGGGGGCCGATTGGCCCAGCCGGGCGAATTTCCTTATCAGCTTTGCATGTACGGCGCGTACAGATGCGGGGGCGCCCTGATATCCATGAAACGATTCATTACCGCCGGTCATTGCTTTATTTATAAAGGAGTGCGTTTGGACATATCCAAGCAATACATGGTAGCCGGAGTGGTGAATTGTTATAAAACCGACGACCCGTATTTTCAACAGAGAGGTATCGTAGATTACCAAATGCACCCCGAATTCAAGAACAAGAGGGACAAGACTTCCTATCACGATTTTGCCGTTGGGACATTGGACAAACCGTTTATCGAGTCCGATCGTGTCAAAGCTGGTTCGCTTCCGACCGGCGATCCGGAAGATTTCCGCCAACGCTGGGTAGATTACGTCAAAAGCGGTAGAACATGCACTGCCATGGGTTTCGGAGCACAGATGGGTGACGAAGGCGTCTATTCAATGAAATCGGGTTACGACATAAGAGTGATAGAAGTGCAACCGAAAGACGACAAATATTGCCAAAGTACCCTCTTATACAAAACGGACAAGAAGCTTGACGGCGAAGTTTGTGCACTGGCCGTGGACCCTAAGAAGGACAGCATGGCTCCTGGTGATTCCGGCTCGGGTTTCATCTGCGACGGCTATCTCTTCGGTGTGAACACTGGTGGATTATTCAAGGAAGGCTATAATCTCCAGCTTTACACACTCGCTTATCCTTACATAAATCTTTTCTCATTGAATTCGTCCGTCGGTCTCAGTGCTCGCATGGTCCTCGTCATCTTCGGTATTTTAACCGTCGCTTCAGTCGATATTGTACACCTTTGAACAATAAACACATCCCTGTCCGAACTGTTATTTAAAATGTATAACAAATCCGAATTAATTCCGTAAAACACATCACTCGAGATTTCTGAACAAAGTCGAAAGTGAGCTACTGGCTAATTTATATTAATTCATAGGCCATATGTAAAGCCAATTGTTTTTTTTTAAAGATGTTTATTTTATTTATTGCTATCTGTACATAATATACATTGAACAAATAGTTAGTTATAAACAAATCTGACAGACCTGTCAGACCAGGAGGCAGTAAGGAGAGAAACCAACTTTTATTTAATTGGGAGGGAGTTAAAGTTAATTCGGTTGGTTAGATAGAAGGTCACGAGGCCATCGTCGTTTTAAACGGCGTGGAGGATTGTAAGGGTGAGATGTTGAGGAAAGAGTTAGGGCTAGTGAGTTAGGGTGGAGGGAGAGTGAGTGAAAAGTGAAGAAGCGTGATTGGATAAGATGTTTGACGAAAGGGATTTTAAGATCTTTATGGATCGTTTGATTTGTGACATGGAAGGGAGCATTGAGGATACGGCGGAGAACTTTAGATTGAAAAGACTGAATTTGTTGGATATTTGATGATTTGGCCGAGCCCCGAAGCTCGACTCCGTAGGTCCAAACAGGTCTGATTTGTTTTGTAGGCGGTTAGTTTGTTATGTATGCTTAGTTTTGATTTTGGTCCAAGAAGGTGTCGGAGTAGTCCATATCTTTTGTTAAGTTCTTGCCGTTTTAATCGAGTATGTGGGTTTCAGTAAGTCTACTATCTAAATAAAGCCCAAGATAGCGAACTTGGTTCGATGGTGGTATTATTTTGTTGAAAATGTGCACTGGTTGACAGGTTTGTCGTTTGCGCGTAAATGTAACTTGTTGGCTTTTTTGTCCGTTTATCCTGATCCGCCACAGATTGCACCAGTTAACAATAATTAAGTTAATAAGGTTCAGGTGTTGTTGGAGTGCTTCTGTTGCTAGGATAGGATTTGAGTGTGTTGATAAGATTGCGGTATCGTCCGCGTAGATTGTGATTTGTGTGTTTGGATGTGTGGGTATGTCAGTAGTGTAGATGGTATCCCCAAAGCCAATTGTCCGAAAAAAAAATTGCACTGTTAGGAAAATGTCTACGCCGATAGATAGAAGTAAAAACCTGCAGTAAAGTTTTGACAAAATTAGTAAATTGTAAAGGGTCAGTATGGGAAGGTAACTAAAGGCATCCAAACAAGAATCAATCAAGGTTAAATTGTAATAATTTCATCGTATATGTTTATATCCATTATGTGTTAGCTAAACAACAGGCGGGTGAGCATAGTTAACCAACAAACATAAATTTCACAATAATACATATAAAATAACTTACACTCTTTTCTCCACTAATTTACAGAGCACTCGCTTATCTTCTGCAACTTTCATTATTTTCATATGCTTATTCGATATCCAGAATGGGATGGATGAGAAATTCCAGGGGCTAATTTAAATTATATTCGATGGCCTCATGAACTGCGAAGAGACGAGAGGCTGGCTATTCAATCGGCCCCTGGTGTCCCTCAAATCTCCAGTTTCAATTTGATCCTAATAACACTCGTCTTTCCAATGCCAGGCACGTCAGCTTAGATGAAACCAGTGGTTTCCCAAGAGAAATTGGTATTTTAAATCGTTTTCCCCATAAATACAGTTTTGAGTAAATCCAATGGAATCAGCATTTTCTGTACGCCTTTGTCGTTGCTTCAATAAATTCTGCCACTTGTAATACAACTTCATTATATATATTTTTATATATTAATCGAAGTTTCACGTTTTTTAACGTTTAATAACTGAGTCCTTGTCTAAAAAATACATAAAAATGTAAATTGCTAAGGAAAAAAGACTGACAGATAAAATTTGTTTTAAATTTGTAATTAACATTTCAATATCGCCTATTTCCTCCTCTTGCCTTAATTACATTTCGAAGGCGCCTCGACATACTTTCTACCAGACTGGAAATGTCTCTTTGCTGGAGACTTGGAGGTTAGCCAATTCTTCACGAAGAGACCTTTCAAGATCGTGGAGTGCATCAGGAAGAGATGGACGTGCTCTTATTCGTCCCTTGGGGTTCCATAAATGTTCGATGGGGTTCAAGTCTGGAGAACGGGCTGGCCAGGGTCTTACCTGATGTATGCTGTTGAATGTAGTTTGTGATGCGAGCGGTCGAAGTAGTTTTACGGTCGAAACATATAGCTAATGTCTCTAGTCCGGAATTATCAGGCCTGATAAGAAATTGGAAATGAACCAACTCACGGGAACACTCTTCACTTGCCGGGATCAGCCCCTTTCTCTTCGTAGGAACTCTCCGATCAGCACGACTAGGATCACAAGCCACACAAACACATACACTTTTTTAAAGAATATTTTCTTTCCTCGCGGAGACCACCTCTTCCTCGGAACGTCTATATCGAACTGACCCTCGTTGCTTTTTTGTTCCAATCTCGGACCCAGTGCCCTCCCGATCAGGATCTTGCAGGCCGCGAATTGCTTCCTGCTTCTCGCGCTTCTCTTCTCGGTTCGTCCCGCCACTATTTAAGCTTTATTAATTTTTTCCCGAGAAGAAGGGAACAAAATGTAATAGAGCAACATGTGGACAGGCATTATCGTGCATTGGAATCGAATTGTCGCTGATTTCATCGAGGATAGGCAATGCATGATGTTCCAAAATTTCACCCACAAAGCGAGTGGCCGTCGAAGACCCTCCACGAACAACAAACCACTCTGGGCGACTTCCCATTGAAATTCCCGCCCACACCATCACTGAGCTACGTTGAATAGGTTTTCTCTGGGAAAAATTACAGGCTTTGTACCTTTCATTTCTCCTTCTACACACTCTTTCACGCCCATCAGGAGATCGTATAACAAATCTACACTCTTCTGTAAAAAGTACAGCAGACCAACAGTCTAAAGATCAATGGCTGTGTTCTCGAGCAAATGAGAGCTATGCAACTCTGTGTTTTCTAGTAAATTCTGGTCCTCTTACGGAGCGAAAAGCCATAGTACATACTGACTTAATCTTCTTCGAGCAGTGTTTTCAGAAATTTGGATGTTTCGAACTTCCCGGAGCTCATGAATCGCTTGAACAACACTAAGATGCCAGTTTTGCAAAATTCTCAAAGTCAAAAAACGGTCATCTTGTGGTTCTGTTACCCTAGGCGTCCAGTACCGGGCCTTCTATGGTAAGACCCAGTTTTGCGAAAACATCTGACGTCTTGCAATGTTTCGTAGGGAATTCTGATGGCAATAGCCGCATACCTGATGGAACGTCCATCATCAATAAATGCCACACCACGCACAACATCCTCAGCACTAAATGGCATTTTTATGTTTAAAAATTGAAATTAACAAAACAAAGATGAAAACTAAACAGTTTATTGCTTCCGGTTTCAATAGTGATTCATCAGAGATGACCCACCTTCAAGAAGAAAAATCAAAACTGTTGAGGTCGAAATGTAAGAAAACATCGTTACTCTAATCATGGGCGATATAAACGGACATGCCAGTACTGCCCATCGGGGAGGAGGTATGTTCTACAGACATATCGCTGAGGAACACAGAACACAAGTAATGTCAAGTTTTAAGAAATGATCTTCACTAAATAATAAGTTATTAAACGCCCAACTCAAGAAAGAATTCTTGATAAAATGTAGAAGAAACAATGTTTTTCCTAATTATCTTAATAACGTGTAACGTAACATCTAATAATAAAAAAGGACAAGAGATGATCTATTATCCTACCTTCAAGAAGGAAAAATCATGTTATTTTATTGGATGTGTGTACAGGTTTTTCAAATTTCAACTTACACTGTTATAAAGACGATCCTTTGTTATCTGCTAGGCGAGTTGGCTCTTGAGTGGAGAGAACTATATTGAATGAGATTGTTAAGATGATCGCAAATCACAAAAGTCAGTGTAGAAAAAACCTCGACGCGTATGACATGGAAAAAGATAAAATTCATTTGAGTAATTGCTTGCTAAACAAGTTCGATTTCAGGCATAGAATTTACGGTGAGAACGTAATAATTGAACGCACGGTTTCAACATTTTCATAATGGAATGAGACGAATCAAAGGCCTGCCTCGTCGTAGAATTCCAAACGAGCTTAAAAACGACGGCTCATTAGTGGCTTGGAAGATGAGGGCAAATTAACTGAAGCAGACATTTCGTACATCAAACAGGCCTGAAGACAGAATCGGTGAACTATAAAATTCTATTCTTTTGGAGGATTTATTTGTGGGAAACATAGTAGACCTAGAGTGTTCAGCAATATGTTTGTATATTCGATTGGTTTTAACATATTTTGTAATAAGATAGATAAGTGGATAAAATTTGTTCACAGTTTTCTCTCAAATACTTGTTATTTAAAGCTCATCTGCTATGCTATATATATTTGTAACAATAAAAAAGAATCAATTATATTTCGTGGTCCGATTGACCAAATAACTTCTTTCAATTAATTAAACTTTATGTAAGGGATTGGTCGAAATGAAAATGCCACGAGCGGGATTCGAACCCACGGCCTTAGGCTAAATACGCCGCTGCTCTACCACTTGAGCTATAGTGACTTCGATCCACTCGGACACCAACTCGAAAATTCGAACGGTTGTACATTGAGAGGGAAGTTGGTGTCCGAGTGGATCGAAGTCACGATAGGTCAAGTGGTAGAGCAGCGGTGCATTTATCCGAAGGTCGTGGGTTCGAATCCCGCTCGTGACACTGGCTTTTCATTTTAACCAATACCTTACATAAAGATTAATTAATCGTAAAAAAGAATGCTTTTTGTAATTATTCGATTAATTATATATTTAGTATGGAGCATGTAGGATAACGATACCGTTCGAAATAATAACAGTTCAGATCGTCTGGCGGTGTGGAAAAAAGAAGATACTCCTTCGTACTCTCTCTATCTACAAAATATCATTCCTCTCCTTAAGGGAGGAATACAATGAAGGCAAATTCATATATACTGATGTATCCAAAACTGAAAAGGGTGTTGGCTGTGCTATATTTATGGGAGATAATTGCAAAAAAAACTCCCCTCCCGAGCACGGCCAGCATCTTCACCGCAGAACTAACCGCAATATCGTTGGCCCTGAGTCAGATTGTTAAACTGC